CCTGAGTCTCTCTCTTTTTTTTAATTCCACCAAATATTTTTCCCCTGGATTCACTTACTGATATCCAAAATACCTGAAGGGGGGGGGGGAGGGTCTGGTCTCAGACTTAATGGCCTTTGGAAGAAGAAATGTTGATTAAATCTGCACTGAGCCACGAAGGACCAAGATCCTATTCTTTTCTAAGAGAGATTTTTGTGAGAATAGAATTCTGGGTTTCTGGGGAATGAAGAATATATGGGCTTGAAGGAAAGGAGAGAAGGACAGAGACCGATTTGGATAACTTATGGTGTTCATAAGAGCTCAGTCCTACGGGACAGTCTTATGGCTCTGTTCCTATGGGACAACATCAAGCATTGAAAAAGATCTTCAAGGTCATCTCACCTAGCTTTTCACAAACTGGGTTCAACCAACTCTTGGGAGTCACAAACAATCTTGGAAGTCTACAAGTTCTTTATGAGAGTTTAAAATTTGTATTCTCATTTTGATCACGGCATAATTATATTATCAGACTATTCAATGTGAGCTGGCTTCTTAGCACAGAAATTAAGCACTGTGCATGAGGAGCCAAATTGCACATGGCCAACTGCAGTTTGAATCCTGAACCCAGTGGCTTGAAAAACATGCCAGGCACATGTGTGTGTACGTGCCCCAAATCCATAAAGGATGGGAAAAATGGAGGAAAATGGGTTGTGGCATGACCAACCCCCATTGGGCATTGCTTTCTTTTTCTCTCTTGACCTCCCTCTCTCTCTGCTTCTCTCTCTCTCTCTCCTCTCTCTCTCTCATGAGTGCATACATCCTCTATCAATTGAAAAAGAAAAATAATATTCTGGGCATCTAAACAAGGATGTGGAGCCATGTGATCCTGGGACTGTGTTTACGCTAGTGTGGGGGGGTCATCTAAAGGGAACTTGTGCTTAGGCTTGTCTTGTGAGTAGGTTGACAGATCCTAATATCACAGTGATAGCTACCAACCTGAGTTCTTCTTGTATTAACACTATATTAAAAAACGATAGGGTGCGTGTACACACAGGTGAGGGTGAGAGAGAAAGGAACATCTTTCAGAAGATGTAGTCATTCTACAATTTCCTTCCTCCAGTCATCCAGCCCACTGGAGTTTGGACACTCGGGGTCATGCCCAGCATATTACAGGTTGACCAGGCTCGAGATTGGAACTGTATTTGTCATATGGTATCCACCTTGTCTTGAACAGTGTACTATCTCTTTGCCACAGAGTTGGCTCATCACACTAAATTCTTTGCCATTAAGAAACGTAGTCTTGGGACCAGCAGGTAGCATGATGGTTATGTCACTGGACTCCCATGTAGTAAGCCATGGTTCAGGTCCCGGATCCAGTGGCTTAAAACTGATACCAAGGATGTATGAAATCCCAAGAACAAAATGGAAGAGAAGGAATTGTGACATGGCCATCCCCCATGAGTTCATGCTTTCTGTCCCTCTCTCTCTCTCTGTTTCTTGGGGGAGCGCATGTGCCCTATAGGAAAAATCTCTCTTAAAAAAAAAAAAAAAAAAAAAAAAACACAGTCTTTCCAATGATAGCTTACAATTGAAAGATACTTTCATAGGCTCTGATGTTTATTCCTACAATTTTTTAATAAATGAAGACTTTCATTTGACATGAAAATGACATGCTGTAACAGATGGCTAAAAGAACAGAATCAGCTTAATTTAAACTACCCACTTGGTAAAGTTGAGGGTAAACACTATCAGGTGTGCTATGTGAATGAATGAAAGCTGCCACTAATTCTAAAGGAGGAAAGTGATAGGAGAATTTAGCCTCACGTAACACACAGAACTATAGACACATCACGCCATGCAGTAACTTGAATATCGCCTTTAACACCCTATTTGTGAGAGGGATAGCAATTTAGTTTTTGCCAAACATTATTGTTTATTAATTTCAATTCATACATTTTATTGTCTTTAGAGTTTTGTTTATATTCACTCTGTAAATATAACTTTATAGCTCTTTGACACTTACAAGAAGTTATACCCAGTTTTATATTTGTAAAAAACATCATAAAAATGTGTTAAGTCAACACTGTGAGTCTGCCAAATTTTTTTCTCATTAAAAGGAGTCTGTCTGTAACTTACCCTTGAGCAATTCTAATCTAGCTCATTGCTCTCATGAAATAAATGACCCTGTAGTGTTTTATGGGTATGTCTTAGTGTTAACCTCCATAGTCTTTCCAAAAAAAACTTGACCATCTTGTCTACCTAAATATAGGCTATTCCTATATTCTGCTTGGAGTAATTACTTTCTTGGTTCCTACATTTGCTACTTTCCTTCTTCTCTTTCACAGTGTTTTTACATACACCATAGCAAACTTCTGCTCATTTTCAAGACCAACTGGTGGAAGAATGCTGCCTCTTCTGTAAAGCCTTCTTTCTTTTCCCAAAGAGGTAAGTAGATCCCTCCTTTGTCTCTACAGCTTGCAGTTTCAATGTCTTGTGCAACACTTGCCATGAGACATTGAAAAGATCTACTTGCTCCCTAAATGTCTCAATTTAAGCTTCTCTAAGGCATAGACCTAACATTACTCATCCTTTATTCTAGTCTATGTCTCATTGTCCATACTTAATAAAAGTTTATTAAGTAAGTTGGATCTGTCTATACCAAAATAATACATCCTAATAAAACCAATCATCGGATCATGCTTTCTCAGGCACCGCCTCTAATGTTATCCTTGCACGATAGCCAAAAGACATTTATTAAGCTGCTAAAATTATTTTTACAGAATTAGAGTGTGAGAGGAATTAAACAGAAACAGAGGAGGAAAAATGCCACAAAATGCTACAAAGATCTTTGGAATTTACATGAAGAAGTGGGCAAGAAGCTGTCTCTAGAGTCAGCTTTTGACCTTTCCATTTATGTTTGAGGAAAAAGGGTTGGAAGTTGATTCTTATTTGAATCTGGCCCTGCAATTGGTTGCAAATGGAAAGACTTCTCTCTGCAGGAAATGATGCCATCACATTGAGAAGTTGTTTCTTGGACTGGAGAATGGAAAATGTTCTTAATGAAAACACAGAATAATCAGTTGGAGAGTGGGGGAGAAGCAACTGGGAAGAAAAATGAGAAAGAATCCATATTAAATAGATATGCCTACCAGCATACTGATGAGGAAAGGGATTTAGAGGATACAGTAAGGGGAAAAATCCTCTTCAAGTTATTATCCCAATGCTTTCCTGTAGCTTACAAAGTGAATTTATGAAAAGTGTCACAAGTGGGAGGAAAATGCCAATCAGTGATCTCTAAACTAGAGATGTGGTCATCACTTTCTCGAGAAGTCATAATAGAGTCAAATATTCTGAACTATCTCCAGCCCAAACACTTAATTTATTTTTATTTTTCAGACTATTTATCCAAAATCTTGTTTAGAAAATATGGTTATTAAGTGATCAGTCATCAAGTGGATAGTAACCATAGTAACTATACTCTAGTAGGATGTTCTAAATACCTTTTATGTATTAATGCCTTTAAACCTTCCTGCAATGCACTGAGGTAAGTACTAATATTTTCCCCATTTGTTTAGGAAATGGAGTTATCAGGCAGATAAGAAATATGCCCAAGGTCACATAGCAAGTGGGTGGTGGAGTCTGTATTCAGTTCCACATAGTCTAAGCTCAGAGCCCCACCTGTCCAGCACTATGCTATGCTGGCTCCATAGTGGAAAGAACATGGTCTTTGGAATCAGACCAGTCTCCATGTAAGCCCTGACCACTAGCCCTTGATACAGGACATGCTATTTAACATTTCTGAGTCTCCATTTTATCATCTGCAAAATGAAAATAATAATATTTAACTTGAGAGACTTTTGTGTGGCTTAAATGAACACATATACTTAAAGTTCTTGGGATGGTATTCAAAGCAAGTAGGAAATAATTTCCTGACATTTACATCATCCTTCCTTTAGGAATCCTCACAAGCCAGAGCCTTAAGGTGTTTGGAATGAGGACATGATGTATGATGCATCAGGCAGGGTTCTAGGCTAGCATCATCTGATAATGTGTATCTCACTAAGTGGGGGTGCCGGTGACATCAAGAGGCTCAGGGACAACGTCTGGGAATGCTCAGAATCAGGGACTGAGATTGTTCCTCTGGTCTTACATGTTCTCATCAAAGGAGATATGGCCTAGGAAAATGAGACTTAAAAAAAATAAATTGCTTCCACTAATCCTTTATGCTTCTGCAAACAGAACAAAACACCTCTGTAACACACAAATGTAGCTTTCATGGGACTGGTGATTTGCTCATGTCCTTTGCTCAGCCCATAGTTTCAAATGGACACTGAAGTCTTTCTTTTGGGGGAAGGCATAAACAGACTATATGGAAGGAGGTGAGGCAAAACTGGAAATGGTAAGCAACCCCATGTTAGAGGTGAAGGGTAGGTACCCAGGAATCAGTGTTCTCCCAGCCCAAACTGTCTATATTGGGAAATGAAACAGACATCAGGTAGCTGGAAATCATTTCCACTGTCCTTGTAATTTCAGGATCTGCAGACCCAGAATCATCTCCATCAGTATTTAAGCCAGATTGAACACCCACCGTCAGATGACACTAAACCACAGTCTAGACAAGAAAAATAATGGGGTTGCATGGCCAGACCCTACCA